GCCTATAACAGCAGTACGGCATGGGAACGCTTGCCGGCAGTTTAAAAGTCCCTCTCTGTAATTTTTTTCTTTTTTCTTCCTCTAGGTGAAACAGCGCATGCGCGAAGTCCATTTCAGCTCTGCCGTCATCGTGGAAGGACCTGTTCATTGCAGCTCCGGCGTAGAGGTCTCTATCTCTCAGGTAGGCCTCGGCTTCGGTCTTGGGGGTCCAGGTGTGCTCCGGAAGGTGTCGTCTTGCAGCGGCTTCGTCAAAGTGAAGATCCTGATGGCGTTGGAGTCCCGGCGACGAATGCAGGTAGCTGCCCCAATCCCTGCGTTCTGGGGTGCGTGGCCTGGGCGATCGGAGGCGCAGTGTCCTTGGGGTGCGTAGGGGGGTTGGCGCGCTGGCGTGGGCATCGGTAGTCCTCGGGTGGGTGTTCCGGTGCCCCTCTCCTCGCTTTCCTTTTTGCTTGGGCCCCTCCGGTTCCCCTTTTGCGATTTTGAGGCCTGGGCTGAAGGCGGCGGCAAGGGTCTTCATGGCCTTATCGACTTGCCACTCGGTCGGGGTGCATCTGGAGTCCGAATCGGATTCTGTCCCCTCACCCCGGTCACTTTCTTCGCCGCTTAGGGTCGGGTATTTTTTCGCGCGCCGGCCATTTTGAATTCTGGCTACCGATTGGACGGGAGTCGGCCATCTTGTCCGACCACGTGGTCAAAGATGGCCGCCGTTTCAAATTTTGAGCGGGGCTTCGCGGCTCGGTGACTGCTGTGGGGTCTTTTTGGGGCGATCCACTCACCGAGTTCAGCTTTTCGAGCTCCGGATCCTAGTCTTCCTCGCTCCTCGCCACATCGCGGTCCATTATGAAGCTTCGCAGGTCCGCGAGAAGGTTCTTGTCGCTGGCTCGCTCCTTTAGTAATCATAGGACGTCGAGTCGTAGTCTTTCTTCCTCCCGGTCATCATGGTCTGCTATTTTTCCTTTCTTGACCTCCCCCTTTTCTTCTGTTGCGGTGGCCTTGGGGTCGATCGAGGTTTCTGCCTTCCCTGGCGATCCCGCTGGGTTGCCCTCTCGTTGCTTCGGTGTCGTTGCCATCTCGTTGGCAGCGATGTGTCCTCATTGCGTGATCGGGAGTTATTGGGCCATAAAACCATCCTCTGCTACCATATTGTTACAGAATCCATGGATCAGGCCCAATAACTGGCACGAGTCAATCATTTGAATAAGTCTCTTTTATTTACAGGTTCATCATTACATCACATACTGCATCTGGAAGTGGAAGTCGGGGAAGAGTGTGTCTACTTTTTATACTTGTGGGCAGAGATTCAGGTAAGGAGTGGTCAGTGGGTGGTACTGACCAAGTGAGTATTGTAGTTAACCCCTGCACTACTGTGTCCCTGTTGACCCCTGGCATGAGTAAGGCATTTATTTCTGACAGGACCTGCTTGCGTATTCTGTACCCGTACCCCTAATTTAGTCGTAAGGTAGGCATGTTGTTTGCTGGGTAGAGGTTTGGTCAGGATGTCTGCGGCTTGCTCGGCGGTCTCACAATGTACAGCCTTAATAAAACCAATGTTTGTTAATTCTCTGACATGTTTGTGCTTAATGTCTATATGTCTGGACCTTTGGCCTACTGCTTCTGCCATGGATATGTCTATGGCTGCTTTGTTGTCCTCATGTATTACTATCGGGTAGGCCGATTCATTCATCTTTTGTACCATTGGAAAACTAGCGTGGCCTAGTTTTCTGTGTAGTAAGTGGGCGCACCCATCATGAATGGGTTTGCCAATATGTGGTTTCCCTTTGTGTGTTGTGTTTGTGGTGGGTTTGCCTCCTGCGGTGTGTTCTCCTTCACCCCCTCTATTTTCTGTGGGCATGCTTGTCCCTTTCTCGTTACTTTCTGAGTTAGTGTTTGAGTGCTCTTGGGGCACTAAGTAGGATAGTCCCCCTTCTATGATGATCTTTCCTATGCTTCTCTTTCCTTTGGTCATATATGCTTTCCCTTCCCTGAAGGTTGTCTCAATGCCCAAGTCTTTACTTAGTTTGAGTGTTGCTAATATATTGTGGGGTATTTCTGGGATGAATAGTACCCCCTCTATCTTCCCTATTCCATCTATGTGTGCGCTCCCTTCTCCTTTCACCAATACCTTGTTCTGGTTGGCTACATTGATGTGGTATTCCTTAGGTGTGAATGCCTCCAGTATGTTCCTATTGTTGGTGGTGTGATTGGTGGCTCCTGAGTGAATGAACCATGTGTTCCTTCCTTTTGCCTGGGTGTTTGGGTGTTGGTGGTCTCTAAGTTCGTATAGTGACCCAGTCTGACTATCCCTGGAGCTATCCCTATATCCTCTCCTGTCCCTGGGGTTGGGTGAGTCCCTGTGCCTGAACCTGCTTTCTGGGGAGCGCCTGTCTGAGTAACCTGGTTTGCGGCCTTGCCTTTCCCTATGGTAGCTGTGGTCCCTGTCCCTCTGGTTTCTGGGCAATCTCTCCTATAGTGATTCCTAGACCCACAGTTAAAACATTCTGGCTTATCTTGGTCCCTGGTCTGGAAGTCTACCCTTTTTGTTGGTCTGCTTTCCCTGAGGCTTGATGAGCGTTCCCTTCTCAGGCTGTCCTCCGCAATCAGCCTGTTGGATAACGTCTCTAAAGAGAGGTGCTCTATGTTGAGACTATCCAGTTGCATGATAAAGTTCTCCCAACTGGGGTTTAGGGAGTTTATGATGATGCTTTTCATGATATTATCAGAAATGGTTTCCCCCCTTTGTATGAGTTCTGCCCTGGTGGTGTTTAGCTTGAGTATATGTTCCCCCATGGGTGTCCCTGCCTTATGCCTGGCTGAGTAAAATTCCCTGGATATTTTGGTTGTAGTGGCTGCACTCTTACTGTAAAATAAATTAAGTATTTTTTATAGTATCTCTGCCACGGTTAAGTGGTGGCCAAGACTGGGGTAAATGCTGGGTGACAAGCTAGACATTAGCAGATAGTAAGCCCTGTGGTGCAAACAGTCAATCTCAAAAGTCCATGGCTTCTTGGGTGGGTCATCAAATAAGTACAACATATTTTCTTTCAGAAAAGCAATCTGTAGTTGGTGGTACCACTCCAAAAGATTGGCCCCATCTAATTTCAATTTGTAATTGTCAGCAGTGAAAGTTATATTACTTACAGTCTGTTGCTGTCCATGGTTCTTTATGTGAGTGAACTCACAATATGCTGGGGGAATGCTTGTTGCCAGTCTGAACTGACTTATCTCTATGTTCCTTGTACTTATCTCTATGTTCCTTGTACTTATCTCTATGTTCCTTGTACTTCCTGTAGGTGGCGACTGGGCATGCGCGAGGCTCATTTCGCGCCGGAGGTCGTCTGGTGAGGAGCTCCTTATTGCTGCTCTCAGGCCTAGGCCTAGGCCTGCTGGTGGGGGGCTGGGCTCGCTCCTGGCGGGCCCGTAGCCCTCCCTGGGCGTCGGATGCCATGGCTGGGCCCCTGCATCTTGGGCGAAGGCTGGAAGAAGGCGAGGAGGTGAGGCGGTCGCAGGTCGAGGATCCCTGGGGACGGTGGCGGCGGCTGTCGTAAGTCGAGGATCTCCCGGATTCGGCGGCACGGTAGCGGCGGTGTCAGGTATGCTTCCTTCAATATCCAGGAAAGAAAAACCCAAACTCAATCATTTTAAAGAGCTTAGTACTTTTACTGAATATGAAATGATCGCAACCCAGGTAAAGCTGGAAGTGAGCAAAATGCGCGAAATAGCATCTACTAAGCTTCTCCCCCCCCATGTCCATTGACCATCATCCAATCCAAAGGTCTCCCAAAGGTCAGGTGGCATCACGTCTGGCAACGTCATTCATCAGGAATGTAGGGCAGTTGGTCAGCCGGCCCCTTTGGAGATTCACTTTCGTTTCTTGGGAAGACACGTCCTACAATGGAAAAAACACCTCCTGCACCTTCCCCCCCTTCGCCCCCTTTACTAGTCCCTCCCCCCGTTTCTTATGGCAGCTGAAGCAGGCAAAGCTGAGGCTGACATTCGGCCCCTCTTGCAGAAGAGAAGTTATTCCTAAATAAGAGAAAGGGAAAAAAGAGAGAAACAGAATATATACAATAATTATGGTTTATCTGGGTATTTGGTATAGAATTGCTGTATTTTCTTGGGAGCTCGGACATCCCGTTTATTCACCCATTCAGCCTGAGACAAAGGGAAATGTTTCCAGGCTATCAGATATTGGACTTTACCATGGTGTTTCCTAGAGTCCAAGATTTCCTTAACTTCAAAATGTTGCTCCCCCTCTATGAGAATGGGAATTGGAGGGGTGCTTTGATCAGCCCTCAGGGGAGACGAGTGTTCAGGTTTTAATAAACTAACATGAAATACAGGATGTATACGTCTCAACGTTTTTGGCAATTCCAATTCAACTGTTACTGGATTAATCAGTCTAATCACACGAAATGGTCCTACATACTTAGGGCCAGTTTTTTCGACTTCTGGGTAGTCTGTAAATATTTAGTAGATAAATAAACTTTATCACCCACTTTATAAATGTGAGCTGGGGACCTTTTCTTATCGGCTTGCGCCTTATGGGCCCGGTGTGCCTCATCTAATGCCTTCCGAGTCACTGCCCATGTGCTCTTTAATTGTTCAATCCAATCCATCAAAGAGGGATTCTGGGGATCATCTTGTGGTAGCTCGGGAATGGGTACGAAATCCTGGCCCGAAGCGACCTTAAATGGAGTGAATCCGGTGCTACTGTGTACGGAATTATTATATGCCACCTCTGCAAATGGCAACAAGTCTACCCAATTGTCTTGCTGGTAATTTACGTAACACCTCAGGTATTGTTCTAGAACCCCATTGGTTCTTTCATAGGCCCCATTTGTCTGAGGGTGGTGACTGGAACTCAGCCCCTGGGCGGAGCCTATCAACTTCAAAAACTCTGTCCAGAAACTGGAAGTAAATTGCACACCCCTTGGAGATCCATGTAGCCGGTAAATCTGCCGAATAAACAGTTTTGCAAGGGATTTTGCTGAAGGGATCTTTGAGCAACGGATGAAATGTACTTGTTTGGAAAACAAATCAGTTACTACCCAAATGACAGTGCAGCCTTCACTCTCTGGTAAGTCCACAATAAAATCCATAGATATTTCCTTCCATGGGGCATTCGGTCTGGCCACACCTTGCAGTAATCCAGGGGTTTTTCCTGGAGGTCTTTTAGCCGAGGCACATACTGGACAGCTAGCCACATATGCCTCTATGTCCTTTTTAAGTGCAGGCCACCAAAATTGTCTCTTAACAAGATGTAGAGTCTTGACAAACGCAAAGTGTCCCACGGCCTTGGCATCATGAGCATATTTCAATACGGTTGTTCTTAATGTGGTCGGAACATACAATTTCGATCCAACCCAAGCTAGTCCGTCACAAAGTGTGCATTCATTCGAGTGGTTCTTAAACCACTCGTCAGTTTTTAGCGCTTCTCGCAATTTTTCGAGTAAATCCCCCAAGAGTTCTGGTTCGGGTTTTCCCTGCGCTCTGGTAGTGACAGGTGTTGCCAATTGTGTCGAGGGGATCATAGGTTGAACCACCTCCTTCTTGATGCTGTTATACTGCGGCAATCTGGAAAGTGCGTCCGCCATGAAGTTCTTTCCACCAGGAAGATAACGTAGGGTGAAATTGAAACGATTGAAATGTTGGGCCCAACGAGCCTGTTTTGGTGATAGTTTGCGTGGTGTTTTTAATGCCTCTAAATTCTTGTGATCAGTCCACACTTCGAAAGGGTGTTTCGCCCCTTCTAAAAATTGTCTCCATGTTAACAGCGCCCATCTAACTGCAAACGCCTCTTTCTCCCATATGGCCCATCTCCTTTCCGTTTCTGATAGTTTACGGGACGTGTAAGCACAGGGTTGTAATATCCCGTTCTCATTCTTTTGCAAGAGTATTGCTCCTACAGCTACGTCACTGGCGTCAGCTTGTACTACAAAAGGTTGTTCCATGTCGGGGTGTTTGAGCATTGGTTCAGCCGCAAACAGCTGTTTCAATTTTTCAAAAGCGGCTTGACAGTCCATAGTCCATTCTAGTGGTTTCGAGGGTTTGGGCTCTACTTCCCCTTTCCTTTTTAGCAAGTCTGTAATTGGTAGTGCGGTTTCTTATGGCAGCTGAAGCAGGCAAAACTGAGGCTGACAGGCAGTGGATCCTGGGCGACGTTGGAGGACCTCCGGATGGGCCAGGAAGCCTGGTGGAGGCCGCGTGGTTGGTGAGTCATTGTTTCTTCTCCTCATTCCGCGGCCTAGGGAAGTTGGTGCGGCGGGTGGCGAGTGCGAATCCTGCAGGTATTCAGTCCTGCAGGCGGCTGGGTCTTGGGTGTAGTTTTTGGGGTGCGTTGTCCCACGTGGTGTCTGCTGGCGTGCTGCAAGAGTTCCGGTGGCTACCCTGCTGCTCTTTTGGGGGTGCTGAGCGTCGGTTTGTTTCTTCCTGGCTCCTGGGGACTTGAGTGCTGAGCCGAGTGCTGCAGCCAGGTTTTCGATCGTTTCGTCTGCTTCGGGCTCGATGGGTGAGCCCCCGCAGGCTTGTGATCTTGCTTGGGTGCTGTTTTGGGGGTCTTCCCCAGCGAAGTTGGGGTTCTCGCTGTTTCCCGCCATTCGATTTGAATCTCAGCTTCCCATTGGCTGTTGGCCATTCCAAGATGGCCACCGAGAGCATGGCGCGGAAATGAAATCCTCTACGTCCGGAGCTTCAGCTTGGGGATACCTTCCTCTTGCCGGGCTGAGGATTTCTTCTCTCTGTTGCTGGGTGCTCATCGCTGCTCCATTGCTTTCGAGTAGGCTTTGGAGTTTCGCGATGAGCTCCTCTTTGCTGGCAGTCGCTTCCATCATCCCCAGGATGGTGGATCGGAATTCTTCATTGCTTGGTGGCTCTGCCCTTTCGCAGTAGTAGGTTTCTTCTCTTGGCCCTTCGTCCCTGAGTTGTGGACTCGGGTTGTAGTCTCAATCACCTTCAGTTGTGGTGGTCCTTGCTGTGGCACCTTCGAGAACCTGCAGTTCTTTCATCTGTTTGATGTAGGCTCTGGTGGCCATTCTTTTCTCTGCCTCTGTCTGGGTTCTTGATTCTGCCATCTCTGTGAGTTGCGGGTAAACCATCCTCTGCTACCAACCTGTGACTGATTTCTAGGATCTTACCCAATAACTCCAAACACAGGATGCAGTGAACCAATTCTCTTTATTGATCAATGTTTCTATTACAGGTATTTAGCTGGAAATGGCCCCTGGACGCCTGGACCATGTCTTAAGTACCTGGGAGGCGGAGCTAAGGTAAGGAGGGGTCAGGGGAGGATCTAGGTGGATGTAGAGTTAACCCTTATCATACCTGGGATGGTGAATGGTGGGCATTTATACATAACAGAACCAGCCTATGCCAGTCTTCAAAGCCCTGAAACCTCATTGAACATCAGTTAACTCTGCATTCGTATTTGTCTTTATCTCCCCTCCCATTTGTGTTTCCTTATTTATTTATTTTATTAAATTTCTATACCGCCCTTCTCCCGAAGGACTCAGAGCGGTGAACAGCCGGAAGATAAAACACAGAGATACAAAAATTTAAAATAGATTAAAAACGAATTAAATAATTTGGCTGAATTTAAAATACCCCATAATTTAAACAGATTAAAATTTGTATTTAAAATTTATATTTAAAAGGGGAGAAGATTTAGGCCAGGCCAGCTTGATGAAAGAAAAACGTTTTAAGCATTTTTGCAGGACTAACATCTCTGAAAAAGGGGGCAGAATGTCAGAACTGCAATCTTCAACTTGGCACTTCACTGGCGTCCTGCCACCAATTGTTAGGGGAGAGGATGGAGGCAATTGTCATGGACAGGGTAGAGTTGGCCTACAGGGAGGGCGTGTAACAGGCTTCAAAGAAACCACAGGTGTGAGAACCAGCCTGTTCCAGTCTTCAAGTCCACAAAGCCTGAGAAAAGAATGCAAACTTCACCAAGAGGCACCAAACATCTGAGCGGTTCCCCAAACACCTCCTCGGCACACCATTGGTTGAAGACGGACCGGTCGGGGTGGGTGGATGGGATGGTGAGAAGGGGAGAAATTTGCAAATTTTTGACCAGGAGCTTTAGTTCTAGCCGGCTTTTGCTGCAACCACTAATTCCTCTTTTAAAAACCTATCACTTCAACCAAGTGACACTTCAACCAAGTGTCCGGGAGGATCCCGGATCTGCGCACCTTCCGTCGCGCGCTTAAAACGTTTTTATTTCATCAAGCTGGCCTGGCCTAAATCTTCTCCTCTTTTAAATTTAAATTTTAAATACAAATTTTAATCTGTTTAATTATGGGGTATTTTAAAATTCAGCCAAATTATTTAATTCGTTTTAATCTATTTTAAATTTTGTATCTCTGTATTTTATCTTCTGGCTGTTCACCGCCCTGAGTCCTTCGGGAGAAGGGCGGTATAGAAATTTAATAAAATAAATAAATAAATAAATAAAACGGAGTGGAGGGTCTTTCTTTCCTAACGACCTACTTTTGGCAAGCCTAACAACATCATCCTGGGCAAAGGAAGGAGGCCAGGAACTTCCTGACATGATTGGGATACCTACTAGAAACACTCACGTCAAAGGACTCTTCCACCACATTTTTGTTGCGATTTGGCGAGATCTGGCCATGAATGGTGTGGATGGGTTTTAATTGTTTTCTTTTATTGAAAAGTTTTACAAACAAGAATTTTTTTTCCAAATATTTCCCCTCCCCCGCTCCTTTCCCTCCCCCCTCTACCCCCCCGGACTTCCCAGAACAAAATACAGGTAAAACAATTAACAGTCATATGCTAAGCTAAGCTAACTAACTACAGATTCCTATCCCCCCCTCGACACTTTAACTCACCTTTTACTTAACTAAATATACATACTCTTAACTTTTCCATTCATTCATAAGCTATTTGATACTTTTTAGTCCGATATTTGTTTTGAATATAATCAGTCCATCTTCTCCATTCCAATATATATTTTTCTTGTGAGTGATCTTTCAAATATGCTGAAATTTTCGCCATTTCTGCCAAATTTGCCACTTTTAATGTCCACTCTTCAATAGTAGGCAATTCTTCCTTCTTCCAGTATTGCGCCACCAAAAGTCTAGCTGCAGTTATTAAATTTAAAATCCATTTAGTCTCTATAACCGTACAATTATACCCAAGAAAAACAATTGTGGGGTAAACTTTATCTTCTTTTTAAGAATATTTTGGATAATCCACCATATTTTAATCCAAAATGCTTTAACTTTTTTACAAGTCCACCATATATGATAATCACAATCACATCTCCAACACTTAGATTGCAAATTCGGATACATACAAGCCAACTTTTTAGGATCTAAATGCCATCTGTAAAACATTATATAAAAATTTTCTCTTAAATTTTGTGCTTGCATAAATTTTACATTTGTTTCTATTTCTTGCATAAGTATCTTGGTTACCCAAACCATGTCTATTCTGGACCAGGACTTATGGGGGTTAGAATAATATGTGAATTTCTTTACCTCGGAATTATAAAATCTGCAACCATCTATTAAATTCACTTCTTGTACTAAATCCATAAAAGTTCTAGGCAGTACATTTTTCTTTTTTTTATTACTCTGATCACTGCTATAATCCTTTTTACATCTACAATTGCGTTGAAATCGCCGATCAAACATATATTCCCTATTTTTTCTTCTATTATCTTTTGATGTACTTTTTTTTGTAAAATTCTAATTGTCCACTGTTCGGCGCATAGATAACCACCAATAACATACTTTTATATTTAAATTTTACTTCTATCATCAATATTCTTCCTACTGAATCTGCATATCTCAATTTACACTCTATTCCTTCTTTAATGTACACCACTATTCCTCTTTTCTTTTCTTCCGCTAGTGTTACAAATGATTCCCCTAATTTTTTACGTAATAAGTATTTTTCATCTTGTTTTCTTATGTGTACCTCTTGAAGGCACACAATATCCATTTTTTGTTTTATCACTTTTCTAAAAATTTGATGTCGTTTAGCCAGAGAATTGAGAGCATTTACATTTAATGATAAGATTTTAAAATTTTGTTCCATTCCTTTGTGGTTCTACTATGCGATATTTCCTATTACTTCCTGTCCTTTCTCTTAGCTCTTCTTTTCACTCCTTCTTCCTCTTGAGGTTCCCCTTCTTCCTCTTTATCTCCTTCCTCTAGTAGTTTTTCTCGCTCTTCCTGTTTTTGTGTCCTTTAAGTCCTCCGTTCCGGTTCCTCCCTGTTACTATTTGCTCCTTCTATGCCCATCATTTGGTCATGCAGGTTCTGTGCTCTGTGCTGTGAATCCACTTTTATTTTTTTTCCCTTGCCACGACACCACCATTCCTTCCGGTATTATGCATCTAAATGGTATATGCCGTTTATTTAATAATGTGGCTAGGAACCAATATTCTTTTCTTAGTTCTCTTATTCTCTTAGGTACTTGCTTTACCGTAATTATTTCTTTGCCTTTATAAAACATGGGTTCATTTTTTGTCATTTTATAAACAATGTCTCTTATTTGGAGGTGGGGGTGGGGGTGGGGATACAGTACAGCCTCAATTAATAGGACTAAAAACCCAATGTCAGACCAAGCTATAATAATAATGCAAATCCAGAGCATGTAAATAAAAATATCAATCTCTGCTATAATTTTCTGTTGATGTAATTTTTTGTTGCAGTGAATGAAACAATACTGATTTGGTGCGCAGGACATCTGCCAGGACCCCTCTGAAGGCTTCTCAGGGGGAGATGAAGCCTGGCCTGAAAGAGCCCCCTCCCTTGCCAAGGAGGCCCGAGAGGGAAAGGGCTCCGGGGAGAAAACGCTCTCAAGACACCATCCTTCCCTCATATCCAGGTATAGATGCTACAGGGCTGGGCTACCTATGGAACCAGCCTTGTCCTATCACATCAGCCCACCCCGCACAATCAATCCATCCATCCATCCATCAATCCATCCATCAGGACAGAGCCAGAAGGGAAAGGTGTGACGAATTTGCCAAGGCTCTGGGGGAAAGGTTTACCCTGAAGTCGTTGGGGCGGGTTGACAGGTACCTGGGTGTACATATCTTGGCCACTAAAAAGGGATTTGCATTATCCCCCCCCCCAAAAAAAAGATTGAGGAGTTGTTGGCCAAATGCAAAATGGCGGAGTCTAACTCAACGCATAGCCCCATGCAAAGTGACTACTATGGCCATAATGACAGGACAGCCCTGAGTTCACAGATAATAAATTTTATAGATCTGTGATTGGCTCCTTGCTATACATTAGCAATTGGAGCAGGCCTGACATTGCTTTAGCTGTAAATCTATTGTCCAGGCATGTGGAAAACCCAAAGGAATTCCACTGGAATGCTGTCAAGAGGGTACTTAGGTACCTCAGGGGCACGGCCGATGCCCTCTTTATGCTGGAACCAGAGAAGGGGAAGCCGGCCCAGCTCTCCGCTTACTCGGACGCAGACTGGGCTGGTGACACCAAGAGTAGACGGAGCACCTCTGGTTTCCTCATACTGCTAAATGGCTGTCCTATCCATTGGCATGTTAGGCAGCAAAAATTTGATTCTTGCTCCACGGCCGAGGCAGAATATGCCAGCCTATCGGGCACAACAAACGACTTGATTTGGTTCAATGCTCTGGTAACGAGCATCTGGGCACCTCCTACTCTGCCCATCCAAATTCAAGAAGATAACACGGCCGCAATTGGAATCTCGGGGGCGTACACGGTGGGCTCTAGGTCACGCCACATAGACATCCGCTACAAGAATGTCAGGTAGCTTGCCAGAATGGGGTTTGTACACATCAAACATTGTAATACAACCGACCAGTTAGCTGATCTGTTCACAAAACCTGTGCCCATTGACCGACACAACCTTCTGTGTAAGCGTTTGTGTTTGCTCCTGTAAACGATGCATCTGCATGTCTATGACGCCTGCTCACCCCCTCACTCATACTCACTGGCACCTGTCATTGGCTGGCAAGAAGGGGAATTGTTAGGTGTTTTGTGCCAGCCATGGCAGTTTCTTAAAAGGCCACCAGATGGGAGCAAAGAGGCACCTTTGATCCCACTGGTGGGCCAAAGGGCTCCGGCCCCTGCAGCCCCATTGGGGAGAGTTAATGGCCCTCCGGCCCCCTCACACTTTGGTAAGGGAGAGGCCAGGGGCCCCTCTAAGAATCCCTGCACAGGGGCTGCTCTTTGGCTCTTGTTCTAACTTCCTACAGGACTGAACCATGGGCTCAATCCAGGCATGGATGCCTCCATGCCAGGGAACTCAT